GCAATAAAGGATGAAGGAAGAGAGTTTTGTCCTCCAAAGTGTTGAAGAACTCATAGATGAGTCTTAAAGTTGGAAAAATCATGAGGAATATGCCAGACTTCAAATGCAAAAGTGAATCATTTGTGGTTCATATGGGTTAGAATAGCTGTAAGGTTTTTGAGCACAGGTTTGACATACATAGTGTTGTGTTTTGGGAAGGTTAGTCTGGAAGTGCTACACAGAATGAATTTTAGGGCTGAGAATCTTGGAATGAGGGTCATATGTATAAGGGAGGTTCTAAAGATCTGAGTTAGAATGGTGCCAAGAGAAAAAGAACAGAGAATAGAAAATAGATACATTATAAAGATTAAACTACATGACTGAAAGCTGATAGCTCTGGGAAACATCAAAAGTGGAGGACTGAGTAAATTCATTAACCTTGTTTCCTCTAGGAACACCACAAAATGGGAGAAAAAAAGAGGAAGAGAGAGTGGAGTGGGGGGGGGGTGGTGGTCACAGAAGACAAATCCACAAAAAGAAAGGAAGAACGATAACAGCAACAAGTTTGGCAGCTGGAGAACAGACAAGAAGTTAGTAAATAGCTTAGCAAAATGGGGAAGGTGAATCTTTAGCCAGTGACCACCCAAAAAAAAACTAAAAATAGGAGTGAAAGTGACATGAAAAACAGGACTGACTGCAAATTTTAGAAGTCAAATTCCCAGATCTTGATTCCTAGACTTTCCACAGCCAGGGAGAGGACTCAAGGTAAACCAGAGACTCTTGGTACCAGAGTTATCAGCCAGTGATAAAAGAATCTGATACTCAGTACATGTTTACACATTGAATGTTGAGATACCAGCCTTCTCCCTTCCTCAGAGTTCCAGACGGACTTTCTTCTTTTATACATATATAAAAGATTTTTGCCATAAGATGCATGTACTCTCCAGAGAGACAGAGAGAGACACAGAAAGTAAGAAATCAGCCCCCCAGTGGGGGATGGCCACACGAAAGTCCCTTCTTCTGCATTCTCCTCTCTGGATTTTGGGCACACGTACACATGCTCAGCCTGAGTTCCAAGCTGCCAGGTCTCGGATTTGAACCGCAGTTAACTACATGGGTGTTCAGTGACATAATCATTATGCCATCTCTGGTCCCCAGGGACTTTATTCTTAAGGATTTGGAAATGTCTTCTCTGGATATACTCTAGATAACTCAAAGAAAAGACCTTAAAGAAGTTGGAATACATCAACCAAAATACTTACTGTACAGCCAGGGTTTCTAGAATCTACCACCTGCTAAGAGCTTCTGTTGAACTGTTTTTAATACCCCATGAATAAATTAGAGCAGACATTAGAGGAAGGCCTTCTAAAGGAAACATACAGAATAGGAGACTCTTAGAGAGAATATGAACTACAAAGAGAGAACTGCAAACTAACTACCATCCATACCTGAGAGATATAAAGATGATACAGTAACTGTGAAACAGAAGCATGGTGTTGATAGAAAGGAATATTCGAAGAAGGGATAAAGAATTCTTAGAAATTAAAAACCTGACAATAGAATGAAAATAGTAAAAGGTTCAAAGATGAAACTGAGGAAATCGCTCAAGAACTAGAGCAAAAGATCAAATAAATGAAAAACAAACAAAATACTAGAGGAATAGTCCAGGAGGTACCAAGTCCAAATAATTAAGGGTTCCCTAAAGGAAGAACAGAGAGAAAGTCATTGAAGATATAATTCAAGAAAATTCTTCAGCATTGAAGAATATGAATTTTTAGATAAAAAGGGCCTACCAAAGGTTGAAATCCCCTATTAAGATGACGTGGTGAAATTTTAGTGCTCTAGGAACAGAAAGAAAAACCTTAACATTTCTCATAGAGGAAAGCTTAAGATTCATACAAAACATGAAAAACTAGAATCTCGTGGGCTTTATCTATAGCAACACTGAAAGCTCAAAGACAATAGAGCAATGCCTTCAGAATCCTGAGGTAAAGTTTTTCCAACCTAGAATTGTTCATTTAAACTATCAGTAATCATAAGGATTAACAAAAGGCACGTTTAAGCATGCATGATCTAAAAACGTTAGCCTCTTTTATAACTGTCCTCAGGAAACCACTGGAAATATACTCCACTAACATTAGGGAACAAATTAGAAAGGGGGAAGGAATCCGTGAAACAAGATCAGGCTCTGTAGGAGAGAGATGAAGGGGATTCCTGGGATAATGGTAAATAGACATCTCAAGGAGTGGCCATGCAGAATCCTACCTGGAGCAAGCCGAACACTTCTAGAAGGAACTGCCTCAACATTGACAAAAATGTCTAATGTGTCTGGGCATTTTAAGAGGAGATCTGTGAAACTGGGGGAGTCCCTGCGGATGAATTCGTAATTGATATGTAGAAAATTGTGTAGCAAAAAATCAAGCTCAGAAATAGAACCCTCACCTTTTAACAAATACTCTTTGTTAACAAAGAATATTTAATATAAAGAATTGATAACTAGAAATTAAGAACTGAGGCACCAGCAGTTGGCATAATGGCTATGTCACTGGACTCCCATGTAGTTGACCGCAATTCGAGTCCCTGACCCAGTGGCTTAAACTCACACCGGGCATGTGTGTGTGCGTGCCCAAGATCCCAAGAGGAGAATGGAGGGGAAGGGATTGCAGTGTGGCCATCCCCCTGGGGGGCGATTTCTCATTTTCTGTCTCTCTGTCTCTCTCTGTCTTTCTGGCGAATGCACACGCCCTATAGCAAAAAACACCTCTCAAAAAATTTAAACTATTAAAATTAAAGTTTTTTAAAAAAAGAAGAGAAAAAAATTAACTGAGGAATCACGAAGTATCATAGCACTAATGACTACAGGAAGCACCTACCACTAGGCTAGGGAAGAAAGAAAAGGCACTGGATCAATGAAAACTTGCAAAAAGCACTCCCTGGACTGGGACTCTGCCTGCCCTCTGAAGAAGGGCACTGGCATTAAGTCCTGCTGTCTTACTCAGAGGAAGTTACTCAGGTCTGGGACCCAGACCTTTGGGGAGGGAGCACCAGATGACTGGTGCTGGTGTCTGAAATGAGGAGGCTGATTTTACAAGTGTTGGAAACACTAACTAAGTTTTGCTGCTACTTTCGAAGTCGTTTATGGTTGCGAAACGGAGCGGGGTGACTGACAGGAACAGAAAGGTGTATCTCCCTCCTTCACCTCCCTCTGTGTGGGTGTGCCTAGCACTCCTTACTGGTAATACCTTCTAGGCTGGGGACTGGCAAAGCAGAAAGTGGTCTCTGGAGTCTAAGTCACCAAGTAGCTAATGAAAGTGAGAGTTTGAAACTAAAAGGTAAAGATCAATAACTGGTACCAAAAAATATGCAAAACAATTGTTTTAATTCCAGAGAAAATGAAAAGGTCTTCAAGAAGGGGTAAGTAAGTAGAGTGGACTTTCAGCCTCAGTCAAATATAGCCTTTATGTCGTCACTATAGTGCAATGAAGACTTACTGAACTAAAATCGCCTGTAACTATTGGGCTGTCGGAAATGTCATGGCGTATTTTTCTATGCAAAAATGTGTGATGACTTTTCCAGCAACCCAATATATTGCCCAGACAGAGGGGATACAAAGTGTGGGTGTGGTTGGACTGGCAGTGAAAATGCTAAATGTGTCATTTCTGCAGCTGGAAATCAAGAGGGAAGTACTTGAAACAATATTAAAGGGAAGACGCTATGTAAATTCACTATCTAGAGATGTGGAGGGAATATGAAAAATCAGTTCTAGAAGAATTGTCAGCACCTCACAGAAGAAAGAAACATAGGGGAGATCAGGGATTGTTGTGTTCCAAAACAAGCCACTTTAGGCCTGATGGTCAACACAAACACTCTGATATCCTCGAAGCCTTTTTCTTCTCCCTAGTAGCTGTGACATGATGGTGACAGCTGGCAAACAGGGCAGCTCACAGCCAGTCAGGCTGAGACCTCGCTCTTGAGCAAAAGGAGCACAGATCAGTGGCTGCCGAGAGGCGATGCTTGGTTGGAGGAAAACGTGCTTAATCACAGACGGTTCGAAAGATCAGAACACCACACAGGCAGCGCAGAGCTGGGCTCATCGTTTGGGGAAGAAGTATCAGGCAAAGGCTGCTTTCCAGGTCACCGTGAGAACGGCTGACCCTGCCTGTGCCAGGGCTGACAGCCTCCCCAGCCACCTCCATATATATGAGGCAGAGCAAAGCCAGACTCACTCTGTGTCCAAGCATAGTTTATCTGTCAGCACCTGGGAAGATAATGCAATGATGAACAAGATGCTGGGTCTGGTCTGGGAGAAAATGTTGAGCTTGAGCTACTGACTGAAAGCTGAAGTCCCTTCCGAGGCTCATTAAATATATCAGGTCATGGGCACTGAGAAGAGCAGATGCCCTAGTTCTTTTAACTAGAGGGTACCCACCCCAGTTTGCACAAGCTCAGGGCTGGGAAGAGGTCTGTACTCCTTGCATTTACCCCAGCCCCTAAGCTACACGCAGAATCCCCCTGGGTACACACACCTACAACGCTCATACATAAGTGTCGACTAATAACGTACAAGTTTCTGTTCCCTCGCACTTCAAGTGTCCCTTGCACTTCAAGTCTACTTGACTTGCAGACTTTTCTCCACATGATGACACTGATGCCCATAACAGAGCTTGCCTGCCTGTGGTGCTCTGTGGGAGAAAATTCCCTGCTTCTGCAACAGGTGGTGAATAAGACAGAACAGACCCCCAGGTCATACTGCAAAGCCTTCCCATCTCAAACATCCTTGATGGTGACAAAGACCAAAGGACAGCGAGGTGACCTAGGAAAAAAATCGCATATGACATTCATCACCATTATCATTACCGGCTGCAGGGTTCTTAGAAGGTGCCTATAATCTGAAAGAGTTAATACCCCTTGAAACGTAGTTGGTCCATGAGCAGAGAGCTGCCCAGAAAGTCTGTCCAGGCCAGGGCCAGCTTTCCTTGCCGCCTGCTACGCTGACGTGAGCTCACACCTTTCTTTTTCAGATTATGATGTCTGTGCCGAGGCCCCCTGTGAACAGCAGTGCACGGACAACTTCGGCCGCGTGTTGTGTACTTGTTATCCAGGATACCGGTATGACCGGGAGAGACACCGGAAGCGAGAGAAGCCGTACTGCCTGGGTGTGTTGGGAATATGTTTACTTTCCAGCTCCTGGGGATATGCCTTGTTCAGGTGCTTCTGTCCTTTGTTGAACATTCTTTATGAGCAGGACCAACTCAGAAGAGCTGCTTTTTCTTGAATTCTTCTGCTGGGGTCCTGAAAACTTGTTGGAGAGAGTTGTGTTTGGTGATACCCTAGGGGTTGCTCACTGCCATTCATCGTGACTATTAAAACAGCGTCCAAGAAGCTCTTCAGGAAGTTGGTACCACGAGACACTAATTGTCAGAATAAGAAGAGGAGAGGGGAACATCATTCACATGTAAACAGAAATAACAAACAGAAATTAAGCGGTTGGGAGTGTAAAAACACAGAACAGATGCCTGGGGAAAAGGCGGTGTCTATATGGCAGGCAGACAAGCTAGAACTGAGTCAGGCAGCTGCTGCCCAGGCTGAAGCCAGACAGGGATGGCACCTGTAGGGGCTGCCAGCCTATTCCCGTTGGTCCTCACAGGGCTTCCCCATGCCCACGTTTCTGGGGCACCTCAGGGAGGGCAGCTATAGATACTACAGACAAGATAGGAGGAGATAGGTAATAGGGGGCAGGAGAGAGGGGATCAGGGAAAAAAACACATTTAATAGACACAAAAGTAAAGTTACCTGCTGATAATAATATATTTATATTATAATGTTTCTGACTTGACTTATATGCACTGTATTCATGCTGGGAAAACCATGTTGTACACTGTAAAGATTAACAGGGCTCAAATGTAAATTTAAATATTAATTAAAAGAGAAAAAGAATACCCAAAACAAAATCAAAAACCTCGACTGGAAGACAAACTGAGGAGACTAACAGGCAGATAGACCCATGTGGAAAATGAGCTGGCTGGGGTGAGCAGCCCTTTTTCTCTGCCCCAACCGGGCCCCAAGAAAACACCATCAGAGTTTGGCCGTAGGTACCTAAACTTTCTCCCCAACAGCGTCTGGGGAGATTATTGTATGGAATGACTCCCAGACAGACAAAGAATGGGATTGGGAGAGCCCTGTGAATGGAGCCAGGACCCATGGCTGCTTCTGTGGAAAACGCGGGTTGTTCTTACAGCTCAGGTCCCAGACACAAGGGCTTCCATTTCAGTTGTGGTCATCTCCGTGCCCTGGCCTGTTCATCTGAAAATGGGGAGGGAGGTACAGAGTTGTAATCTACTAAGAATCCATCTCTCTTTTTTTTTATTTTAATTATTTTATACATTCAATCACTATACATGATTTGGCTTGTAGAGAGAATTTACCCGACATGCAATACTCCTCAGAGCTGTCCAGTTGAGAATACCATCCATATACGTTATCATCCATGGGTAATAAACCATGAATGCGTCCCACAAACGTCTTGCCTCTCTATTTTTTTCTCCCAGACTCCATGTGTTTCTATCTTTTTCCCTCTCTCTGGACATTGCTTCATGCTCAGGTGTAGGGCAGGGACACCTGGAGAAAGGCAGACATCAGAAGAGGGTCCAGCTGTGACATCTGGCCTACAGATGTCATGGCGTGTACTTCCAGGGAGCGCCCCATGGCCACACCTCTCAGCACAGACAGGGCAGCCAGAGCAGGTCCTTGGCAACTTCTCCAGGGAGTGGCTGGGAAATTGTCAGCATCTGAAGTTCAGGGCTGGGCAGTCTGAGACTATGGCTGCAGACCATGGCTCCCACCCTGCTGCCCGGGCTCTTCAGCCAGTGAACAGGAAATGGAAGTGGGACTCGCTCTTCTCCCAGGGAGGGAATCATTCTCATTCCCAGCTCGTGCAGCAGGGAAACCAGTCAGTGACAAGCACAGTTAATGGACTCCTAAAGTTTGCTTGCTTGATGGTCTCACGGCTCATTTCCACAGCTATGAAGGGGGTCTGTTTAGGTCAATGAGGCAGAAATTTCCTGGGGAAAACTCTCTCTCTCAACCTTTCATGACTATTTTCGTTTTTCAGAAGTAGTTTTTCCCAGGTACCATCATGCCCTGTAACTGGAAAGTCTCCATTTCTAAGTGACCTTTGGGTCACTGTCTTGCTCCTTGGAACCTACAGCCATAAAGGGAACTGTTAACCCTCAGCAGGCCCAAATGCAGTGGTGCAGGGAGTGGACTTCTGCTGGGTGATGCGAGAGCCATATGGGAAGACCCTGGGTTCAGTTCCCAAGTTGACTTGAAGACACATTGGGTGCCTGTGGGTGTGCCCATGACCCCTGTGGCAGGGACAGGGATGGAGCCAACAAGACCCTGTTGAGAATCATTCATTCTCATTCTCTCTCATTCTCTCTCTCTCTAGAAATTAATAAGAATTTGTGTGTGTGTGTGTGTGTGTGTGTGTGTGTGTTTGGTTTTTTTTTTTAGATATTTTTGCTATAGGGCACATGTGCTTGCCAGAGAGACAGTAAGAAATTCCCCCCCAGGGGGAGGGGCAATGGACACACAACCCCTTCTCCTCCAGTCTTCTCCTGGGATCTTGGGCATGTACACACACGTGCCCAGCATGAGTTTCAAGCCACTGGGTCCAGGACTCAAAATGCGGTCGGCCATGTGGGAGTCCAGCAAAGTAACCACTACACCAACTGCTGGTCCCATGAATAGACTTTTTATAAAACACCGTATACAAGGATACTTGCAAAAAAATAAAAAGTATATAACATTTGCTTCTGAAAGTGTGTTGCCAAGGGCTAATTTGTTTTCTCTCCCAGGAAGCCCCAGAAAGGGACTACAATAGGATAGGCTTCGCTGTCAGTGTTTTCTAAGTGTGCAGGGCCTGCACCAGGCTGCACAACTTGGCAGGAGCAGAGCCCCAGCCAGGAGCCGGGTCACTGGCCACATAGCTCCAAGCAAGGTTTTTGGGGTCCCCCCACATTTCTAGCTTCCTACTTTATTCCAGGCTTCTCTGACCAAGATCTGGGAAAGTGTCCTTTGAGATGTTAACAGAGGGGGCAAGCCCCAGGTCACTTGTGTTGGACGTAAATTCTCTGAAACTGAGTATTCTCTGCATTTGGTTCAAACCAGACATTGACGAGTGCGCCTCCAGCAACCAGACGCTGTGCGCGCACATCTGTGTCAACACCGCCGGCAGCTACCGCTGCGAGTGCCGGGAAGGCTACGTGCGGGAGGACGACGGGAGGACCTGCACCCCGGGGGACAAATACCCCAACGACACCGGTGAGTAGGCAAGTGTAGTGGGTCCCCGCTTATACACTGATGATTTTAAGTTTTACAAACAGTATCAGTTTGAGAGCTTATGTATCACAGAGATACAACCATACTCAGAGTCTTCCAGAAGTTCATGGGAAATGCGTAATATAAACAACTGTACATGGATTTCAGAAATTGTTCAGACCAAAATAAACTTGTATGTTAATTCCACTTTACCTGTTTAAAATGTCCTGAATATCTGTATGCATATATTTATATAATTATGTATTATATTATAAATATATGATGCATATTATATATCATTAAAATGTAACATGTAACTATAATATCAATGTTCTATTAGTTACATAGTTACATATGTAACTCTACTAGGTAACTATATTATACATTACATGTAATTTATATATTATATCATAAGGTTCTCATGTACCTATATACACATGTAATTATGAATATACATAATTAGATAGTATTTCTTACATATTATATATAATATTCACACGCACACAAATGAAATATGTAGGCACTTAGGAGCCCATCCAGGTTCCGCAAGAAACAGTAGGCAGAAAGGAGCGCTTAACACAGAAAGTACATGGGACCTGGGTTAGAGAACATAGGTTCAAACTCCTTCTAAAGAGAAAGCGTGGGCCAGCCCATGGCCTGATAATTAAGCAAGTGGGATTCTACACGTGCACAGTTCGAGAACCGGACTTGGCAGAGCACCTGTGCATGCACATTCAAGGTCCTGAAAGGAGAGAGAGGTGGAAAAAGGATTGTGACATGGCCATTCCCCATGGAAAGGTTGCTCTCTCCCTTTCTTTCTCTGTCTCCTCCTCCTGAGTGCATGTGCCCTCTGGCAAATTAAAAAAATTTAAAATGACTAGAAATAGTGAGAGCACTGCCGATTAGCACCAGGGCTGTGGGCTGTGTTGGAGGAAGCGCTCCACGTGGAGGAGGTGTGCCTATGGAGAAATTGCTGAAGCTTAGGAGTTGAAACCCAACTAGGATGGGCAGAGAAGAGGCCAGAAACACTGTGTTCTCTCAAAATGAGCTAAAATACAAATAAGAGCATTTCCATTTAAGGTCACAATCTCAGTGCTCCTCGAAGTATGGTCCTTGGACAGGCATGATTTATGACTGGATAAAGGCAAAAATTGAAAGTGTTTAGAATTTTTAATACCAATTTGACAGAAGAATTTTGTTTAAATCCAAATCTTTGTATTTTATGTTTTATTTTGCTAGCAGTTATTTTTTCTGGTTTGCAAAAGTATCATTTCACAATCAATGGAAGATTCCTAAAATCTGGCCCTTCAGTACAGAATTGAGAAGCTGTTTTACATTATATCAATCAGATTCAACTGAGCGATCTGATCACTCAAGCATATGATTAGCCTGAATGTTGTGTTACTCCCTTATTAAAGTTGGGGGGGTGGGGGCGGGGAGGAGAGAAAGAATGAGGAAGGAAGATTAAAGGAGGAGGAGAGAGAGATAAGAAAGAGCCAGTGTTGATACTTCAGGAAATGCCTTGACAGACGAAATTTCACCACATTTACTTGTGAAGCAGTTCTGATCTCTGCCAAGTTACATGTGCCAGTACAGACGTCAAAACTTGCCAGTTTAGCCTGTATGGACCACGTCCGGGGTCGGCCTGCCTGCCTGCCTGCCTGCCAGCCAGGATGCATTTTAAAGCAAATTGAACTCCACTACAATGACTGGCAGGACCCACTCTCTGTGGAGAATGTGCTCAGCCACATAGAGGACCTAGGCTGTGTGCCCTGCACCTATGGGCTCCTGCACCAGCCACTCGTAGGTCAAGAAACTGCTGTCGTCTTCCCCAGCTCAGGGCTCAGCTTTCGCTGCTTCCCTCAGGAAGGCAAAGTGGCCGGTGCACTGTCAGGAGAGAGTAGGCAGGCCTGGACCGTATCTTAGAGGACAGTCACACATGCACAGGGGAGCAGGAGATGAGGCCTGAACTAACTGGACACTCAGGAGATGGCTACTCTTGGGTAGCCTGAGCTTCAAAGTGGGTGGAAGGGGGCTCGTAAGTGGCGTGGTGGTTGAGGTGCTGGACTTCCACATGGTCATCTACAGTTCAAGTCCCAGACCTGGTAGCCCAAGAATCCCAACAAATAGATAGATAAATAAATGTTTTTAAAAAAATGGGTGGAGGACAGCAGTCAGCTGGGCCCAGTTGCCTCACACAGGAGACTACAAAGTGAACGTCTGAGGACGCCATCTTGTGTTAGGAGTAAATGCAGAGTGCTATTTGGAGCCAGCTAGAGATTGGGCCATTTGGGATCATTTGAATGAATTAGAGGACTTGGTGACACTTTAGACCCTGAGGCATGGGGAGCCTGTCTACCCAGAGGTATTCAGAAAGTAAGGTCAACAGTCATTATGGCATAAGGGTTGATTGAGGGAAAAAATAACATTTACAGAACTTTTTTGTTTAATTCAAAATTTAAATCATTGCATTTTTGTTCCATGATGAAAAACTTGGGAGAGGAAGAGAATGTGTAGTTTTCCACTTAAATTATGTCATTATTGAAAGGAAGAGTCTCTGGAAAATAGGGCCCGACTTCTCAGCCATCATGCGTTGACTGGTGGACCTACTTGAGAACTAGTTACAAGAATGCAGCTTTCCCCTCCTCCATTGTGGGGCTGGATTTCCAGCGACACTTAGAGCCACGTCACTGTACACTGTGGCCTGTGGGTCACCCAGCCCAGCAAGCCCATGGTCTCTTCACCTCACTTGTGTACACAGGAAAGGTCTTTGTACAGGCATAAAGTGCAGCCTCGTGCAGCCCGTCAGGAACAACAACACACAATTAACGCTGAGTGTCAGGGCAGAGTGGATGTTAGGGATACAGTATAGGCCTGGCCCTGTCCATGTGGAGTTTCTGCCTGATCGGGTAGAGGAGTCTGCTGTAGAAAACTGACCATAATAAATGGGGACCGGAGAAGCCAGATGGAATTTTCCAGAGATCACTGGAAGATTTTCAATGCTGAGTCTACTTGTTCTTTGGTCTCAGATGGCCTCTCCTTCCTGCAGTGGCACCTCACTTCTCTGGTCACATCCTTCCCCAGTCCCCAAGGCAGCAAGCCCCATATTGTGTGGTACCCTAGGGCTGGCCCCAGGTCAGAGTGCAGTAACAAATTCCATTTTGTTGAGAGAGACTCACCTATTCCTCCATCCTTCAGCGACGTGGACCTTGAGAGACCCAGTCAGGGCTGGGTGGGATGGGATATTCTGGAACATCATCTCATTGCATCTTTGAAATTAGCAATCTCTGGCTGTGCTAAATCTGTACTAGGACCACACCCACCTGTTTCCTTCCATGAGAAAAGAATAATGCCATTTAAAATTTTTCAAACAGGGGCCAGCAGGTAGCATGGTAGTTAAGGCACTGGATCCACACATGGCAGACCACAGTTTGAGTTCCAGACTTGAAAATCACACCAGGTGTGGGAGTGTACATGCCCAAAATCCCGAGAGGAGAATGCAGGAGAAGGGACTGCGGTGTGGCTATTTGCCCTGGGGAGTGATTTCTCACCATTTCTCTGTCACACTCTGTCTTTCCAGTGAGTTTACTTTTGCCAGAGGCCAAAACCTTTAAAAAAATATTTTTTTCCCCAGAGTTTCAGGCAAGTACAAGAAACCAGAAATTTTTTTTTTAGGTAATGACTAGCTTGACTTCTTTGGCTAAGAATTCAGTAACAAAACTGCATGGTAGAAATATTAGAGATACGTGTTTACAGCAGTTTGGTGTCTTCTCTAGAATTACCCACATATAAGGAACTACAATACATTTAAGAGGTATTTTATCCCAATCATTTGTTGCAACTTTGCCCTACATTATGTTCTGCAAAACTTTAGGGTCCCATGTGGTGTTAATAAGAATTTATTCCTGGGACCAGCAATTGACATAATGGCTATGTTGCTGGACTCTCATGTAGTCGATCGCAGTTCCAGTCCCAGACCTGGTAGCTTAAACTCACGCTGGACCCCTGTGTGTGTGTGTGCCCAAGATCCTGGGAGGAGAATGGAGGGGTTGCAGCATGGCCATCCTCCCTGGGGGGGGATTTCTCACTTTCTGTTTCTCTGTCTCTCTCTCTCTTTCTGGCGAGCACACATGCTCTATAGCAAAAACCTCTCAAAAAAAAAAAAATTTCTTCCTGAACTAAGGTCCTGTGTTCCGATGTCTGAGGAGGTGTACATTACCATACCCACTTATAAAGAGTTCACTGTGTGGGCACATTAAAAGCTCAGAGATGGACAGGCAGGTGATGTGGTGGTTAAGGTGCTGGACTCCCTTATAGCTAACTGTAGTTCAAGTCCCAGACCTGGTGACTTGCTTTCTCCCTCTCTCCCTCTCTAGCACTTAAGGAGAAAGTTAACTTTGATTAAACCTGCACTTCCCAAAGTTATTTAAGAATTCCCATGAACATCTCCCAGATGACGGTGTCCTAAAACACACACACACACACACACACTTTGGAAGATGCTTAGCATCGAAAATCTTACGTCTGGGTCCAAACTTGCCAGCCCCTTCTGCAGGCAGCATGTTCTCAGCTGAGGAACCAGCTGAGGTCTGGAAGGTGGGAGGGACTTTCTGTGGACTGCAGACATCTAATGAATGAAAACGGGTCAGAACTCCCCCATCCTGCCTTGTTGAGAGGCAGCCTGCTCCCGCTTACAGTGACTTAACATGAGAGATGTCTTTCTTTTTAATCCAGTAGAAATGTCTGGTTACAGTGGTTAGCTTACTGTAACACAAAGCTAATTGGAGAGAGTAGATGAAGCAGGGAACTCTCCTCCTTCCCTTCCCTCCCCACCCCAAACATAGTTCCTAATACTAAAAGCAAACAAAACCCCAACAGGACACACCACCTGCTGCATCCCACTCCCCCAGCAGCAGCCTTAGAATGGAATTTCTAGTTTCCAGTGACTAGTCTCCCCTGAATTATCATATATGCACAGAGGACTAGCATTTGGTTTTCTATTT